CATCTTTATATAATTTGAAACATAAACAAAGAAAAACACTATAGTTGGCCATGGCGTACAATTAGGCACCCTACAGTCATTCATACGTTCAGTAGAAAGTTTTTGTGAGAAGCGATTTTACTCATATTAGATGGAGTTCGTATTTGGGCCAAATATCTCAAAAAAGTGGGACCTGTCGGTTGAACGCAAGCAAACAAGATGGATAGAGGGACAGACTAGTTTAAATCGTTTCGGAATGCAACTCTGTGCGTGTATCTCAAATTCAGTTAGATGCTGCATACGTCCACACAAATTTAATATATCCTCATACCACAAACGGTCTAGAGTGCAAAAAATGCATGGCCTGTGTATAACATTTTGTAGCGATTATGTACGAAAAGCCATAACATTTTCATAATCACATGATTTTCGTAAGCGGGTATGTGTACGAATTGGAACTAAAAATCTTTTACGCTTCAATTTTCGTATGCAATTTTTTTTTTACAAGACCAGAAGCGGCTAATAGAATCGAATTATAGAAAATGACAATTGGTTGAATGTGTAGATAATGAAAAACATTGTAGGAGTCGTTCTGTGGTAAGTAGTGTAACAAGATGTCAATATTATCCTCTCATACGTAATCCAGTTCGTCTCCTAAAGGTCTATTTTTTTATAATTTAGGACACTTGGCGTTCAAGGGTATATTCAGTTCGTGCGGATGAATGCAACACATAGAAATGTTGGAGGCGGACATGCCTTTTATTATATCGATCTGAGCTTCTCTGTCCGTCCGTTCTTTTTCTTACTTTTGTGATGCGAGCTGAAATTGATGAAATATTTTAATGGACTTTGGTACACTGGCATATTTTCGCTCAAAGGCGAACGCTATTGAATATTGTTGCGATCGAACGATTTGCTCGACCACTTCCCACATAACGGCATTTTTTGAAAAGTCATTATATGAATTATTCGAGGTATGTCTCCAGTACTTAGTAGAGCCGCGTGTCCCCTTATAGTGTTTTTATTTGCTTGAGTTTCATGTTTAATATTTAATTAAATCTGAACGATACGATAAATATGAAAATGCGATACAAGCAAGAGTTTATTATAATACATTGTAACGTCGGAATTATACTATGTTACGTGGTATATCGGTATGTTCAATAAATTTCTCGTCGTTCAGAAATCTATTATTTATTAATTTGGGTATTTAAAAATATAAAAAACAATTTTAATGACACAATGGCCTGAGTGGCCGAGCAAGCGAAGGATCTCGAGTAACCACTTAATGGTCGTGGGCTCAAATCTTAATTGCGGTAAAGCTTTCATTAAAGCTGGTTGTGTTATAAGCTAGTACTGTAAGACTTTAGTCTTAGCATTTAGTTGCCTGTTAAATTATTAATAATAATAATAATAATAACAATAACTTCAATAAACACTTATGGTAAATGCAGACACGTACTTCAACCGTTTTCGATACTATTTTTCTCGGATTACTATCAAATAATATGCCGTCATCTTAAATGATCCTCTTAAATAATTGTAAACGAGTGCAGGCTTCGTGCAAGCAGACAGATAGTTAAGCTGCAAGTTATAAGGAAATCAACTCTCTGAACCTTGCCTTGGTCGAAGTTATGTGTATATTTTTACAGCCTCTTTAAATCACAAATCACAAAATCACTATACGTTTAAATAATAATTATAAAGAAAAAAGGAAAGAAAATATAGCAGGAGAAAAGCAAGGGGGCAGGAGGAGGAATAGCAGAGTAAGATATATACCAAAACTAGTCTTAATTCTAATATTTAAATAATTTTTTCTTGACATAAAACATATGCTTAAAAACGCGAAAAATCATTTCAAACTTAAGATTGTATATAATTATAAAAATGGAAAAATATGAGAGGAGGAAAAACTCTTTCGAAAGAATTTTAACAGGCACAACTTTAGTTTACTATCCTGAAGCTTTTTTTGTTATGTTTTTGTTTTTGCGTTTGTGTTTCTATAGCAACAAGGCAATCATATTTTCTACGGTTTATGAATAGTGAAGAAAAAGGCGCAAACAGCAACAAATTCAATTTGTTTTATGTCACTCGGCTTATTACCGCACTGTACTATATCGCAACAAACAATCACACTTTGTCTATAAACCGTATGCCATAAATCATCGCAGCATTTGTAATAAATTTTATTTCCCCTCCGAAAAATTACAAAAAAAAAAAAATATATATATATATATGTATATATATTAAAAATAAAAGAATTGAAATAACATTTTCTTCTTTTTTTTTTTTTTTTTTTGTTAACGAAATATATGTCTGCAAAGGATTTATTGTTGAGACCTAGAATAATTGGTTTTGAATTTACAACGAGAGTGGTCAGTTGGTTACCTTACTAGTGATGTGGTAATGATGGTGAATGCCAAATATACGGTACGCTTAAGATAGTAATTTGTTCGTATGTTTAGTATGGGGTGTTAAAAGCTATAAGTGCAGCTTCATTCCTTATATAAACAATGGTTTTTCTGTCTTTCTTTGTTTTTCGTTTTTGTTTTTGTTTTCGTTTTCGTTTTTTTTTTTTGCCTTTTCAAATAAACTACCATATGATTTACAACTTATTTACTTATCGTATGTTGTTAGTGTACTTTTCAGGGGTTTACACGAAATGCTGCAACAACTGAAGGATGAGCGTAAGCATTTATTTGAAGTGAAGTAAGTGAAGAGAAACCTTTTTCTTAAATCATTTATTAACCTTTAGGATAAATAGGCTCCTCAACAATTATGTCATAAATTTTGAAGAGCCAGAGAAATATAAAATGAAAACCAGTTCTTTAATTAGGCTCATTAATAATGCCATACATAAAAACATAAAAGTCGGAGCAGCACTAATACTGAACGTTCATCACTTGTAAATAAATAATATATCAGTATATTAGCGAATATCAGGTTAAATGGTGTTAAATGCTTATAAACTTTTGTACGACTCTACTTAGCCGCAAGATGAGGGGAAAAATTCAAAGCTGATAGTTGTTCCGCGTTTTCTTTGTTTACAAAAACAGCGCTTATCATAATAATGTTATTTATAGACTGACGTCTGCGAAGTTGACGAATTCAATATATTTTTAAATGGCTTAAGAAATAATTTTACTCCTTAAGAGATTCTTCTTCTTCTTCTTTTTATTCAAATTTCAAATAATCATCTTCCCTTTCATACCAAAAAATTGCTAAAAAATGGTTCTTTTTAAACTGCACGTAGTGGCTTTCCCCCATAATTTTAGAGAGCTTAATATGAAGTACATGCGCTCGCAAATAGATGTCAACAGGTCATGTTGTACTATCCCGTAGCAAAATTTTTAAACTCATCACAAACAACAGAGGAAAAATTCGACTTAAACTTGACAAAAACAAGTGAAAACGCTGTAAATACTCTCCGCCACCCTACAGTTATTGGTATAACGACTTTTGAAAGTAAGCCATTCTATGGGAAGTTTTCAATACCGTTCGTCCTTTGTCCAAAGAACCTCATTTTAATAAATTCCATCAAAATATCCAAAAAATTTGCGAGCTGTAGGTTGAACATAGGAAAACAAGACGGACAGATAAGGTTGGAATATGTTTCAGAAACGATCGGTTTAACGGAAGGTTTGCTCATTTCAAGACTGTCTATGCGTTGCTTACATTCGCTCAATCTTAATATATCTTTGTACGACAAGTGGTGTGGGTAATAATTATACAGTAATGAATATATCAGATTGAAGACATCCGGCTTAATAAGTATGAAGAAGGATGGGGAAGAAGAAATTAAAAATTTAACGTAACTTTTAATAATAATATTCCCGTCGTTCGAAAATGTGATTTACAGTCTACGCTTATCTTGTCTGAAAAAAACAGATACGAATATACAATTATAACTCGAAAAATCTTATTTGCCAAGTCGTTACAAACTTTTTATGAAAGAAAGTATAAAAAAAATAATTTTATATTGATATTTTATATAAAAGTTAGTTGACTTGAAAGCTTCTGTGAAACACCCCCCGATTATGAAACGGTCTGTAATGGAATGGGTTTTTTTAATGCTATTCCTCAAATGACTTTGGTTTTTAAAAATGAAAATGCAAATATCAAATATTTAGCATATTTTCGGACAAGAGAAAAAACAGTATATAAAACATATGTATATCGAACAAGAGAAAACCTGTTAATAATTTTGAAATCTTGTTCACATTTGTTAAATGGCTTTTTCTTTATCAAATTAAATCAAATTGTATGTAAAAATTTTGGCAGATGAACTAAAGAAAAAGTACTCAGCTAGGTAGTAGCCGGTATATAAGCTGACTTTATCTAACCACTGTTATAGAATGCATCACTGCGTGCCCGAACAATGGAACAGTTAAATTATTAACAGCAAAAAAGAAAAAAAAATAAATAAACAAGCAATAACAGCAGAAAGAGCATATACAAATGAAAATCCAACAACAAAACAAGTGAAAATAAATTAAAAGCAAATCGAGTGCATACACTTGGCAAAAGCATAATGAAGTCATAGTTTTATACGAAAAGAGAGAAGAAATAAAAAAGCTTTTATTTCTCACCCTCGCTCCCACCTCAGCTACCAACTAAACATATGGTGTTCATACATATATATATATATATATATATATGATGATGACCATAAAAGAATAACAAACAGTAATACAGACAGCACAGATAAATGGACAAATAGTTCCGCTTTTATGAGCAAAACTGTACGATTACATTATGGATTTTATTAAACGAAAAAGTACATATGTATATATATATATATTATTAACCATATAAAGCGCAAAGAAAATATAGTTAAAAATGTAAAAAACTTCATGTTCATATAAGGTTTAAAGAGGGAAATCATGTTAATAATGAACACACATGCACAACAAAATCGAAAATTTATATAGAAATATAGAGGAAAAAAAATGCGTATATATATATATATATATATATACATATACATTCAATACGGAACTTATTCATTTTATTTAATTTACCTTGGGCAGCAAAGACTTGATAGAATTGTGACAGATAGGTGAGTATTGATAGCCGATCGGGTACTTCATAGGCGGCCATATCATCGGCATCCAATAGCGCAGGTATACCCAAATACTTTTCAGCTGTCGTAAATGCTAACGAATTGTTGTAATAAACATCGGCTTTATTCAATTTATCAAAATCACTGAAATGGAAAACAGAATCGAAATAAAAAATTATAGAAATCAATATTTAACAAGTTTATTATATTCTAATTAAGTGAGGTATTTGAGCATAACGAATTATTAGAGAATAGCGAATAAAGAAAAACAAATAGACGCAAATATATATATATATATACATAAATATATATATATATTAAAAATAAGTAAGATTGTATAGGTGGTGGGAGGAAAATAAAAACAGGGTCAAAACTGATTTTTTATATGATTAATGTTAACTAATCACGTACAGTCCAGTTTCTGCTTCTATTATAAGCTACGATGATTAATCTTTTAATTAAAAGATTACCTTATTTTGATATCTTTTGTTTGTAATGCCGGTATTTAGCAGATTTTCTTTCCTTTCTTTCAAAACACATTTAACCATAAGTAAGGAGGTAAGTAAACAAATGTTACATTTATCGATTTAATGCGAAACTTTTTTTAAATTATTTTATTTATATATATGTGAAACTAGTTTCACTTTTCGTGAACGAACGAATGGACTGCCATGCTTAGAATGCTCCAGAATGTTAATGTGAATAAGAATTACATTTATTTTATATTTCTTACGATTATGGAAGGTCTGTCACAAACGGTGTCGTAAAAGTTGGTATGAAATGTAGGACTATAGAGCGCCACATAAGATAACGTAGAAGGAGAATCTTAACTGAATGTCAATCAAAATGAAAAAAAAAAAAAAGAAACGTATAATATCAAAATTAAAACTTTTCGAACCAAATGCGAGCGAAATTTTTCTGCTTACATATGTCAAGAAAAATGTTAAATGAACGATGCCTTCTTCAATAACTTATGATTATTTTATCATATATATATTTTATTGTTTAGAGTATCATACGAGAGTAGTATATATTGATGATTAAAATATTAATCGAAAGTCCCATTATTTCCCGTATTTGTAATCATATATTTATCCCAGCAACTCATAAATAATTGCGTCAACTAAAAATCGTTCTTGTACACGTTAGCTTACGTTTATGTGATCTCTGGACAAATTCTTGGCCACATTTGATTGTTTTTCAAAGTTGGTTTTAGATTCTTATGTAACAAATGCATATATACATAACAAACACATATGCAAACATATGCCTTTGTGAATACCGAAAACTTGCCAATATTCGAAAATTCGTTCTCGAAGTGGCTAACCCTATGGGAATCCTGAAAACATCTCGTAAATGTACAATAAAATATTTAACTTTATTAAGGCGACCAGACTCACCATCTAGTCTACCTTAAAAAGAAAACAAGTAACAATAATTCATTCGTTTTGGTAGTAATACACCAAAAATTACGGATTATATTCATCCAATGGCGTATTTTTCATGAAAGCCGATGGAATCCAAAAAATAGAACAGAAGTAGTCCAAATACGGTAAAGTGGACTAATTTTCAGCATGAAATATTGAAAATGATACCCTTTCACTATATAAAGATTCAATTTTCGTAGGCACAGTTATATGAGGTTATATGAGGGTTCATAATATTGCTCCAACCGAGCCAAATTTTTCATACTACTCTAGAATGTCGAAATATTATTATTTAGCGACTTTTGTCGAAAAATATTAAAAAATTTCAAATTTTTTCAATAATACAACTTTTTAAAATAATTCTGAATCGATCGGTATGATAAAAACTGGATATATCTTAAACTTTTCCGTGTGTTACGTACTTCCGCGCTTTACTCTATAATACATTCTATAAGGCTGCTGGAGTAGCTATAAAGCATGCGGCAAATATTATCTAGGTTAAGCTAAGAGGCTAATGTAAAAATGATCACGATCTAATGCATCTCTAATTTATTGATTTGAGGATACGGGTATCGAAGTCTCCTCTAAGAGCTAATAACTGGATCTGTAAGGCTTCCCAAAGCAAAAGCCCCCAAAGCAAAAATTTTCAAAATTAAGGGGCGGTATTTTGCAACTATTAGTCGATTCATTTCTATCTATTACGATGTTATTCGCAGGCTATGTTTGGTGTTTAACACACATTTGTTAGAGAAGTAGATGTCAATAGCGTAGCGTATATCAGCCGATGTGCGTTTAATTATTGCACCTTGATGAACCTTTGTGCTATACTTAAGTTATCTTTAGATTTAGATGACGTACTTTTAATTAAAACCTATTTTCCGCAATTATTTCTTTCGCTTCGCTATATTTCCTAATAGTGAGAATTGCAGTGTTCTACATGAAGCAGATGGCTGGCATTCCACTTAATCGAATCGATGTTGATTTTGTTTTTTTAGTTCATAGCGTGTTGAAAGCATATCTTGTCATGTTGCTTATTATACATTTAAACATTTTTTTATATTCCGTTCATGTTCTTTAAAAACTATATGCTTTTCTTCTTCTAATTTTTAAGTGTGGTACAGTAAGTGAAGCAACCACAAGGTAACAAAACCCTCACCTCCAAGTGGTGATCCCCGGGCAACGGCTTCGGCCGGCGAAGAAGGGTTTAAGGTTTTGGACTAACATAACTCGGCGATGAGTTTTCTGAGAAATGGTGTAGGGGTTCGCTGGAAGATGAACTCTTCGCTCATGAAGCTAACTACTACCTAGGAAGTTAATAGGTTATAGTACGTAGAGGTAGTAACTTAGCGAGTGCATGGTAGATCGCCCCTGTCGTGTCAGTGCAATGCCCCAGACTTATATATCTCGATGAAGAGTAGTTCTGGTGTTGGCTAGCCGGGATGGTATGGCTAATCCAAAGGCAAGTAGTCTGAGTTTCAGCTGCGCAAAGTACGCTTAAGGCTTTGCATTATAAACTGGGAGCCACGGGGGTCAGGAGGCTCGCTCACTAAGCCATGTATGCCTGCAGGTAAATGATGGGATTTGTGTTTAAAAGTCGTAACATAAATTAAAGATAATGATAAAAGATCATAATGATAAAAAGGATTTTGACGCAAGGCTTCTCCTTTGGCCTATTTAAATAATAAAAGGGAAATAGACGGAAGGCTTCCCCTTTAAATTCCTACTCTATAATAAAAATTGAGAATTTTCTCTATAAATAATAATATAGAAAGGGATTTGACAGAAGGCTTTTTACCCTTTTTGCCTATCACACTTTTGAACATATATCCACGGATGCCTAGCGGCAATGGATCAACCGCGCTTGTGGAAACCTTATGGTGGAAGCAAGCGCATTTTTCTTTCCCGTTTTTGAATTCTTTTGAGTTGGTCAATTTGTGAGCCCTGACTGCTTGGGTGCGGCCCTTTGGGAAGTACTCGTGGTGGTTGTGGTTGGCAGTTACAAGCCAACGTTGAACAATCGAGTGCAGCTAGGCCTCACCACTGACCAGAGTGGGGTTTATTGATCCATACGCAATAAATCATTCTGGACTCAGGTGCTGCTTAGGCCCCTACTCTGTAGGGATTGTCTAACTCGCCAGGGGGCGTATACTAAGCTTAAAATGACTTGGGGTTAGGCCATCATGGGTTAAGCCATCATGGCAGGAAGCCACGTTAAGCCCAGGTTACAAATCTATACATATAAACATTTTTTTATATTCCGTTAATGTTCGTTAAAAACTATATGCTTTTCTTCTCATAATTTTTAAGTGTGTACAGTAAGTGAAGCAACCACAAGGTAACAAAATACTTGGGCTTACTTTTATGTATTTATGTATTTATGTATTTTTTTGTTTATTACGTCTATTAATTAACAACTCTTATAAAGATTGACGAGAAATGAAGGGGAAAAAAAATCTTTTTATTTATTGAGTATTAGTTTTTATGAACTATGAATGAATATTTGCTATCATTTCAAATCACATACCGTTAACATATTTTTAACTTGTTTATGTTGTTTTTTGTTTTCCATTTCACATTATTTATAGTGTTAAAACTCTACTCTCTATCTGTTATATACTTTTTCTTTTATCTAAATTTGGTATCATTAGCAAATTATTGTTTGATGGTTAGTACAAGGATGCTGTTCTTCTTTCTTAAATTAACCTTAAATAATGAAAGGCTTAAGAAATTTGAATTAAATTTGCATTTCTTACCTATGCCTTAGTTTAATACATATTCATGAGTGACTTAAGAGGAGATTGTAAGCAATAGGAAATAACGGAAAAATACTTCATTAACCTCAATTCTGTTTATTTTAACTATTCGAACTACCGCAGCATACACATAATCCAATTATCTCGGTCCCCTTTTAACTTCCGAGTTATATAAAAGTGTAATGAAGCACAGGCATATGCACATGTGTGTTTGCAGGGAGTTTAGATCAATGGAAAATTTTAGGTCTGTCCATCGGTCTGTCTTTTGTGAAAACTTAAAAATAAGCAAAAATCAACATATCAAGCTACTAATAGCTAAAGTACCAAAACGGTCCCGAAAAAATTTAAAAAATTTTCATCCATATTATCGCTTTTCATTATATATCGTATTATTATTATTATTATTATTATTATAAATTTCGCCAGAGAAATAAATTCTAAGACTAAACTCTTAAAAGCATTAGCATCTAAGGCTATCGGCTTTATATATATATCGTAGTCGATACTAATTTGAAGGTTTTGTTAGGGTCTTATCGCAGATGAGATAATAGTAATTCACAACTTATTGATCATGATAGAGAAAGGTGGACCTAAGATGTTTTAAGCAAAATCTTGAGCGGATCGAAAGGACGCAGAACCGTTCGCTAAAAGTCTTCGAAACGAATAAGTAAGTAAAGGAACGAGAAAACTTCGATTTGTATTTTCGTCACGATAGGATAGCCCCAAAATGTTTTATTTTACAATATACGCCAATAAAGACACTGATGGAAGCAATCGATCCTTTCCATTACCGAATATGAGCTCACGTTAGCCAAATTAAGAGCATTTCGTTATACATTATTGCTTTTATTATTATTTACTTAAAAATTTTCGCCAATTCAAAAATCGCATTTATTTCCGAAGATGGATCCGACTTCGCTTAGCAACGATCACGCGATTGCTTGCGAATAAATTTAAAGTACCC